ATTAATTTAGAAAGAGAAAAGTTGGGGTGAAAGAGAAGCATAAGTAAGTGAGTCAAAGTAAGAGAAACAGAGGAAACGAAAGATAATTAGAAAAAGGCTAAAAGAGAGAGAGAGAGAGAGAGAGAGAGAGAGAGAGAGAGAGAGAGAGAGAGAGAGAGAGAGAGAGAGAGAGAGAGAGAGAGAGAGAGAGAGAGACGAAGGGAAATAGAGAAACAGGAAGAGAAAGCAAGAGAAAGAGAGAATAAACGGATAACAAAAGGAGTAAGAGGGAGAGAAAAAGAAAACGAAGAATAGAGTAGACCAAGAAAGAAAGAGTAAAGGGAACAGAGAAAGCGTAGGATGAGAGAAGGATTGAGAAGAAAAAAGAACGAAAAGGGAAATGAAACAGAGACAGAAGTAGGAGGATTGAAAGAGTAATGTTTACTGGACGATGAAAAATGAATCTACAATAAAACTTAGGATGTCAGCGACCCCAATTACTTTATAACGTCGCCCCATCACAGAGTTAATTAATTTCCTGGCGCATTCACCTTCCAGAGCGAAAACACGGTCTTTCCAGGAGGTGAGCGCGAAAGTGCAAGAAAAATTCGCGGCAATCAGAGCGAAATGTTGCCAGAAAAGAGGGTGTACTAACCGGCCTACAAAAAAAAAAAAAATCTTTCGTTCTTGTGATGGTAATGATGTTTACGAAGAGAGTATCTGTTGCTATTAGGAAATGCTGACTAAGAAGAAAGAAAAGAAGAGAAAGAAAAGGGAAAAAAAGACCCTTTTTTCAGATGTTTCCATAAAAGTGTCGATACAGATAGTGGCACAATTAGTGAGGGGACTAATAGTATGAAATTATAGTCAAAGGCAAAAGTTGGCAAAGTCGGGTACAATCCATTGACAAAGGTTTGAAAGGATGTAATGAGTAGGTGAACGAAGTATCAGTGAAAAAGGTTTATTACCAACAGGTGTGACGAAGATATATCGAGATGATTTTGAACTCGGGAACACTGGTAATAACATAAGATCTAATAGACTGACAGGTAGGAATTACAAGCAGAAGATTGCACTGCACATAGGAGAGCAAATAAGACGTTGTTTACAGTGACTTCCTGCTTATTTGGGCTTTGTTCCTGAGTATTATCCGATTCGAGTATTTACGAGCGGGCAGCTAGAAGCGTTCATGAGAGTTAAATGCTCAAAGGGGAAATTCTTTACAGGAATCCATCACGCTCATAACAAATGTATTAACTACTTGACCCTTCTCCCAGAACGTCTGCTGCTGGAAGGACTAGACAACAACAACTCGTCTCCAGGAATCGACTTCGAAGAGGAAAATATGTGTGGTAACCTACTGGAGCGCGGCCGAGCGATAGGGGCTCCGGCTGCTTTCGGCGTCGAAGTATTTTTCTTGCTAAACGCGGTCGCCGTTGTTTGCTCATTACGCATGCCCTCCAGGTGACTTTGACCTCTTATCTGTTTTTGCATAACTGTATCATGATCCTTTGACTATATATTAAAGATACTATGTCGTAGTGATAGGTCTGTTTATTTTCCTCAAATCCACGCGATGTTAGGCACTTCTTAATCTGAGGTAGCCTTTGGAAAAAAAATGCATGGCGTATAAATGATTTTGGGATTTACATCTCCCTTTCCTGAAGTAGGAATACGAGTGCAGATTGTTTCATGTTAATAAATCCTGAAGCAAAATTAATAATGAAAAGTTGTTTTTCTTTCGTGAAGATAGAAATGTGTGCTATCAGTTTGTTCCATCGTTTCATAAATATTATGAATTGCATTTTACTTAATGACTTAATACGATATACTTACAGAATATTCACTTGGGGGACATACTGATACCATGCTTAATATTTTCGAACCTCTATTATATTTCGAAATGATGACCATTTATCTTTTTAACAAAACACTGTAATCTCGACGTACGTAGTGGCAGCATAATGGCGACAACTGGATCTCCGACAGATCGAGTGGCTACACGAGCCCTGAGCTTCGGCAGCTGGACCTCCTCCTCCACCCCAGCGTGTACGACCGCCGCCAGACCCCAGCTGCTGACACTGGTACGTGCGGTGGAGTTATCCTTTTGTCTCCAAATATGGGTCAGGAAGATTTTAGCATTAGGTATTATAGGACCAATTTGCTTGCAGGAGAGGCGACTCGTGTGGACATCGAGTTCTACATCCGTAGCTTCAGTTCCGTTAACCCAGTCGACATGGTAAGTCCTCTCCTCTGCTTTTGTACCGGCTTTCAGATCTCCTTATTCTTTCCAGTTATTTGTATTTTATCCGGTTCCTGTTCATAGCTTCACGTCGTATATTGTATAAAGTGTTTTGATGTTGTCTTATGTAATTATGTTACTTTAACCTGAGGCAGGGTTTGTAATATGTTCTGAAGAAGCATTCTAGGTAATCCTTCTTCTCTCTGATTAGATGTACAAGGTCATGGTTCATGTTTTTCTCTTTTATTCTGTTTAAGACTTTAGTAGATAATTCTTTATATTCTTTTCTTAGAACAGCTTACATCATTTCCTTTATCTTTTCTCCATCACCAGTCCATCCAACGATCCTTGAAAGATCCAACATCTCTCAACCTTTTCTTAGAAGCATCCTTTTCATCCTCGTGAGCGTTGCATGTTTTTTTTGTTTTTTTTTAATCTTTACATGCCTCCTTTTTTTCTCAGTGGACTCAAAGCAAAGCAAAGGTATCTCCGCATCTGCTACTTAAGAAATTATATTGAGATTTATATACTTGGCCCCTTTTTCCCAGGACTACTCGGTGGATTTGTTTCTGAGGCAGCGGTGGGCGGAGGCTCGTCTCAATAACAGCCTGCAGAGGCCCATTGACACACACGACCCCATGGTGGTGAAGCTCTTGTGGAAGCCTGAGGTGTACTTCCCCAACGCCAAGCACGGGGACTTCCAGTATGTGACGGTTCCCAACGTCCTCGTCAGGATACAGCCCAATGGCACCATCCTGTATATCTTGAGGTTTGTCGTCTGTCAAATTCAGTTCGTGGGATTGTATGTTTATCCTCCAGGTCTCGATGGAATGATGCCGTGGTGGAAATATTTGTTATTATTGTATGTTATGTATATATATATATATATATATATATATATATATATATATATATATATATATATATATATATATATATATATATATATATATATGTATATATATGTATATATATATATATATATATATATATATATATATATATATATATATATATATATATATATATATATATATATACATATATATACATATATATATATATATATATATATATATATATATATATATATATATATATATATATATATATATATATATATATACATATATTTCAATTCTTTTCTTTTCTTTTGTTTTTTTCTTTTTTTATAACTTTTGTTTTTAAGTGAATATACGAATATTCGGCATAATCTTATGACATACTTTTTCATTCTTTTAATCCTCGTCGACTGATCTTTCCAGGATGAAGTTGACATTCTCGTGTGTGATGGATCTGTCAACCTTTCCACTAGACCACCAGACGTGTTCCATGGAAGTAGCCAGCTGTGAGTGTTTACTGGAAACACACACACACACGCACACGCACACACACACACAAACATAAATTAAGTATGTTACACTGATAATGTGCTTTGCAAACCTCACGCAACCCAGTGGCACGTGTGAAACAGCCGTACTGTAACAAACTTTCCCATCTATTTGCCTTTCAGTCGCCAAAACAACCCGTGAGCTGCATCTGAACTGGTATCACGACAACCCCGTTAAGTTGTACAGGCAGCTTCATCTGCTTCAGTTCGAGGTCAAGTTTGTCGCGGCTACTAACTGCAGCCATTCTTTCCCTTCTGGTAAGAACGTGCTGTAAATGTAGGCGTTAAAAATGTCACTTGTTACATTCTGTCATCAACATCTTTCAGGATTTGCATGTCTAAGGAGTTCCTTACTCCATCCTCCAGGGAACTACAGCTGCCTACAGGCAGTGTTCCACCTCCAGCGCAACCTGGCCTACCACCTGGTGCAGTCGTACCTGCCGTCCTCGCTCATCGTGGTCGTCTCTTGGATCAGCTTCTGGCTGGACGCTGACGCCGTGGCTTCCCGGGTCATCCTCGGCGTGACGACTCTCTTCACCGTGTGCTCGGAGTCCGCGGCCTTCGGGAATAAGCTGTCGACAGGTTAGCGTGTGGATCGCACTTCCGACCTTCCTTCCTGACGGCCTTCTTAACTTCATGTAACGAAGATGACAGTGGGGATGACAGGATGAACAGGCGATCTTTTCTACATTGCAGTGTCGTACGTGAAGGCTCTGGACGTGTGGATGGGGTCGTGCACCGTGTTCGTGTTCTTGGCGATGGTGGAATTCACGCTCGTTAACTACATCGGCCGACGCCGCCGCAGACTCCTCTTTCGGTCCTCCGCCGAAGGCCAGGAAAATATTGTAAGTTTTATGTTTCCTACACACTTGTCCAATATATTTATTCTGTTCTTCTGAAACTTTAAAAAAGCAATACCTACATCTCCCATATTATCAAAGTTTCATGATAATTTTTCTCAGGTTTATTTTTCCCCACATTGTTAACAGGAAGCACGAGAAAGAAGCGACTCCATTCGCAGCACGGCCGTTGGAACTCCCGAAATGACCGAAAACACGCCAGTCGACGCGGAAGACAGCGGCACCGCGCGAACAGGAGGCAGTGCTACTGTTTTACGCGAAAGCCCGAATACTGAAAAAAGTGCAGAAGGTGACGTCGAAGTCCCTTTAGCCTGGCTGCGTGAGGCGGAGAGAGCGAAAAGGATCGATAGAAACAGCCGGGTGGTCTTCCCGCTGCTCTTCCTCGTCTTCAATCTGGGCTACTGGGTCTACTATCAGGCTTTATGTTGAGACTTGGCCAGAACCACAACGGGTCTGAACGAATAATGCTGTGAGTTTCTCTGTGCGCTATATTGGCTTTTGGTTCGTGTGGATACCGTCATTAAAATGT